CCTCAGATTAATTTGATAAATTTTTTTAGCTTCTGATAGAAAATAGAGGGGGAAAAGCTCGGGACAGAAAAAGCCACAAAGATCTATGTCTATACTCACCCATCTTGGCTTGTGGTGAAGAGGGCTGTGTTGATTTAGCATCCAGGAGAGAGCAGAGCACATCTCAGCTTGTAGAAGCTAACCATTAGCATTAGCAGCTCCACAACACAGCAGAACTCCTTATGCTTCTTTTACTTGTGGAGATAAAACATCAACATTGCAGAGTGAACAGAGGCAGAGGAAGAGTCGTGTTACCCACTCAGAGGTGAAATGTCTGAATATCATGAATAATAATAGTGGGCTAAAATTCCTCCGGCTAACTTCTACTTCCTGAAACAGGAGTGCCAGAGCTTTTTTTCCACTGGGTTTGACTCACAAGGCATTCATTTAAACCACAGACCACAGCAAATGTATTGAAATGAGTGTAGGCACTCTTTAAGCTCATGTCTTGTCTTAGTTTGTTAGCTGGCAAAGTTCTCAATCAAAGCAACTTAAATCAGTTTTAGGCTGTTATAAACTAAGAATTTGTCTAATGAAAAGCAGGCGTAGCTAATGTGCCGTTTCCAGTGTTTTTGTGTGGATAAAAACATTTTCAGAAACAGCAAATTAAAAGATAAGTTTAGAAAAAGCAAATGATGCTCATGCAACCAGCTGGAGGCTTATAACATTTCAAACTCAAACGCTGGAGCTACAGAGCTTTCAGTGTTAGAAGTGGTTTGCCTGGCTACAGAGCTCACACTTTTTATTCAAATGTTTAATACAAAAAAATGGGGCAAATATTCCAGAAAACGATTGATGAAGGTGTTTTGGTGGTGGGATGTGTAAATACGGAAATATTTGCACGTTTCTGCTAAAAAGGTTTTCCCTCAGACTCAGACGGAGGAAAGAAGCACAGAAGTTCGAACAAGCACTTAAAAACATGTCTGAAAAGGTGAATTCTACCTGTTTCCCACTGGCCGCAGGCTCCACCCCACTGCAGTTGTTTGGGTTAATTTTGGTATTTGTTAACTGGCAACCTGTCCAGGGTGTACCCTGCCTGTTTGCCCAAAAACTGCTGGAGATAGGCGCCAGTCCAGAACCCCCCCCCGCGACCCTGCGTGGATAAGCGGGTAAGAAAATGGATGGTATTTGTTATTGTGAGTGTTTCAGGTGTGTTTTTGTGGCGTTGTAGAGGGCTCAGTAGCGCGTGGCTGGGGTTTGCTCAGTGGGTGGTTAAAAGCAGCCACCTCTTTGCCTATCAAATCACTTGTGATGAGCAGCAGCTTGATTTACATGGCAGGAAACAGATGTGGTCATCCACCACATCAAGACCAGAGAGAGAGAGAGAGAGAGAGAGAGAGAGAGAGAGAGAGAGAGAGAGAGAGAGCGGTATACAGCTGTGTGAATATTGTGTGTGTGGTGTGTGTGCTTCTTTGTGTAGGGAAGGGGAAACTGCAGAGCACCCTTTTAAAGTTGGCCTGGCGACACACTAGTATGTGTTAGGGTGTTTATGAAGACATGTGTTTTGAAATGTGTCTGGATGTGTGTGTGTGTGTGTGTGTGTGTGTGTGTGTGTGTGTGTGTGTGTTGCATGCAGGACTGGGTCTAAGCTTCTTATTTTTACATCCATGCATAAAGTGTGATGTATAGGTCGTAGCATGTGTGTTTTCAGGACCACATGCCTATAGAGCCCCAAACACTTCATCTGGTTTCGGATGTCTTTCCTCCTCAGCGGTGATTCAGAGTCTGATGTGATCACTTCTTTGCTTATAATTAGAACAAAATCTGACATACATTCATTTACTGTAATATAGGGATGTAAGAAAATATCGATATGGCAATATATCGTGATATTTTTTCCAGCAATATATTGATATTCAAAAGCCGTGTATCGGAAATATTGATATGGCAATATATCGTGATATTTTTTCCTGCGATTATTACATTGATATTCAAAAGCCGTGTATGTAATTTTTGAAAGAATTTACATACAAACATTTGTGTATTTTCTTTTCGTTTTGTGCAATTCAATCGCCACCCGCTAGTTGGCAGCAGTGTGCACCGGGTTTTGTTTCCACCACTGAAATGTAAGTCCCTCCATCATGGTTCAGATACCTCATGTTAAACATGTTATGTATCAGTTTGGACTGTTTATTGAACATTCTTACAATAAATTCAGTAAAAAAAAATTGCTTGTAACGTCTGACTGAATGTATCGTGATATATCGTATCGTCTCCCCTGTATCGTGATATGTATCGTATTGCCAGAATTTCAACAATACACATCCCTGCTGTAATATATAGTATTTATTACTATGTGTGACCTGTGTTTTATTTACGGTTTATAAATAGAAATAATAAAGCATAAGAAGATAGGTATTTTTGAAAAGAGTAGTTATTGTTTCTGAAAAAGCTAGAATGGAAAAATATAAATTCTAAAAGTAAAATTGAATTAAAAAATGTTTAAACTCACAAATAAAACATTTATTATTTCGTTTTTAAATACTAAGTCGTGCTAATAATTCACCGTTTCTGTTATCCACCTTTTGACTGAGGCACCAAGTCTGACAAGCACACACACATTCTAACCGGGGTTTTCCACCGGACACGTAAGCGTTCGCGTAACATCTGCAAAGCGTAGTACGCAGCTGTTATAGTGGCTGGGTGTGTTTCCACCAGTTGTGAAGCGACACATTTTGGACGTGTCCCAGATGAGTAGTGTTGCATCGCTCAGCTAAATTTAGAATCAGAATCAGAAAAACTTTATTTATCCCCGAGGAGCAATTAAAAAAATAACAGCAGAGCAATATGACGCTGGGCATATGAACATTGAATAAATAGGTAATAAGAAAGTAAAGCAGCAAGAAGATGGATAAAAACAGTAGAATATGTAAAAAACACTGAGTAAGTGAATAAAGTGACTAAAGTGTCGTCTGTATAAAAGTTAAATATATGGAGAGCCCAAGGAGAGGGTTTATGGGGGGATGGTGTTATCCCATTTACACTTCAAGTTTAGCTTTTTACGTTCTACGCTTCCAGAATGCGTCAAGCTCAGTGTTCAGATTGGGCCAGACAGAAAGTTAAACATAAAATAAGTGTAAAACATCTGGAAATTTCCTAAATAAAAAGTCATGTCCAGATTTCTTGGTGCTTAAGTAAAAAAAAATGACATCATTACCCGTTAGACCTCCGTAGCCGAGGTAACCACAGACTTCTCGATACACACTGTTGTCTTTTTCCTTGCTTGTTATCACGCGAATTGCCGAAATAACTTGCTTTCTTGTAGTTCTCTGGTTAGTTCATGACTTTGTGCGACCAGTTTGCTGCCATTTAGCGACGGAAATGCTCCCGGTGGGAAGTGACGTGACTTTGAGGGTAAAACACACCTATTATTTTACATGACACTTTCAGATCCAGTGGAAATATACAATTTTCTTTTAAAATAACAACATGTAAATTACTCTTTACATTTACACAACTAGGATTACTGGAACCAGTTGACACAACACAATTCGAGTACACACACACACACACACACACACACACACACACACACACACACACACACACACACACACACACACACACACACACACACACACACACACATATCTGGAGCTCGTCCTGATGGCTGGCTAGTTAAGGCAAAGAAAGGTCATATATAAATGGCCTCTGCAAGCTTGAGCTCATTTAATATGGATCACGTGAAAAATTAAATCAGGGGCCTGGCTAGTCAAGATCCTGTAAAACGTCCAATAAATCATAGAAAGTGTGAATATTGTGAATACATCATTGTAAAATGCTTCTTTTTATTTTTGATGAAACCGGAGCTCGTGCTCTTATTTTGAAAGGTATGCTTGCCTTTCTCGACATTTTCCGGTTAGATTAACGTGTGCGCTCGTTAATAACTTTCTTATGAGTTATTTTTGGGGTTTTGGGTTCATTTGAAAGCAACCCAAAAGAAAATAATACATTTTTTTGATTAAATTAGAAATATTGAAGACAAAAAATCCCAACCAATTTTTCTCCTGAATATAGTTAAAATGTCAACAAAAATGTTTATTTTATTATCTAAATACATTTGAACCATAAAATAACTTTATTCTTGTAATGATGTTTTAAAGTTTTAAAATCAGCATTTAAATTTGAATCCAAAAACAGAAACAAACAACAAAAAACTCATTATTTCCTCATGTGTGTCCCTGTTATTACATTGTAGTGAGAGCACAGGGGAAAATGAGTCAAAGGCTGCATGCTTTAAAGATTTAATTACAGCTTACAGCTATTTATCAATCTATTCATTTTCTCCAGAAACATTAACTGTTAAAATAACATTTTTTCATTTTGTATTAATTAACATGAAGACACATTCTATTCTGCTGGAGCAAAACAGCTGAAACTACTCATCTCCACAGCAAGCTAGTTTTAAGTGAGAAGTTTTAATCAAAGAATAATGCCAACGCATCAAAGTGTTTTTATGGCACTTCTGTGATTCCATATATCGAAGAAAACACACAGAACACGACTTAACCCCCCCCCCCCCCCCAAAAAAAAAAACGTCCCAACAGCAGTCTACAAGAAGCTGAGCAGTGTTTGCTCTCCGTAACTGAGATGCAAAGAGAGAAATCAAGAAGCCGAGAGAAGCACAACAAAATATAAAATAAGAAGAGAAACCAGTGATGTTCTCTGGTTTAGCTATTTCCATAAGTTTGGTTAAGCAATCACCTTCTTTGAAAACAAAGTGGAGTAAATGGACAGCAGCTTTGCATATGTGGTAGATCTCAAACGGCTGGCTCAGACAGGACAGGGCCGGGTGGTTTGATGGATGAGGTGAAGGCCGTGGACATGGTTTAGGACTGCGGAGGTTACGGGGGTTGATGTTGACATATCAGTACTGGATTGTGCTTTTCTAGGCTGCTTTAAGTTCAATTAAATACGACGGAGGAACGTTTTTCACTGTCGTCTTGTTTCTTTCCCTCTAGAAACCCAGGCAGGATGTCCGTCAGGGGCCTGGACCCCACCTGTCCCTCTTCTATAAAGCGCGAGCCCTCCAGCCCCAGCTCCCAGGGTGACGTCAGCCCGGCCCAGCCCAGTCCAGGAAGCTCCTCGTCGGACACAAACTCCAGCTACGGTCCTCTGACCAAAGGCCTCAATCCGAGCACCGGTCTGGACTCACCGGGCCTCTGTGGCCACACGGCAGGGTTAGCCAACAATGGAGGAGCTAACAGGTCCGTATATGAACCACGTTTCTCATATTGTGGGTATTACCCAAGAGCGCCTCTTTTCACCTCTCTGCTTCTGTTCAGGAGGTTTGGGGAGGAAGACGGCCAAGTGAAGTGTGAGTTCATGCTGGGCTCGGTGGCGAAGCGACTGTGTCTGGTGTGTGGCGACGTGGCCTCGGGTTACCACTACGGCGTGGCTTCCTGTGAGGCTTGCAAAGCCTTCTTCAAGAGGACCATCCAGGGTAAAGAAACCTCTGGAAGATGCTCAGTTGTACCGTGCGTGGCTGGTGATGCCTTGCTGCATCACGTAAACCTGTTTTACGAGAAGCACGGTGCAGATGGAGTTCTACTCAAAGCTGTTGTTTTGACATAAACAAGCCCTGATCGGTTCATTCACAGCTTCCGCCTCCTGCTCCACAAACTGCACAGAGGCTTTAAATAAAGATCTGTTGGCAAACAGCTGATGTTTGGTTAAACTTGCAGTGCACGGTGTGTACAGTCAACATGTTGGAGTTTAGGTTTGGAAGCTGATAGCTAGATGTTGATGCTTTGGCTTTCTCCCCCAGAGCTGTGAAGCAGCAGCACACGCTGTGGGTGCCTTAAAGGGATTGTCCCGCTCTGTGTCGGCTCTCAGTCCGGGTCAAGGACCTGATGGGCTCCGGCTTGTTAGGGCCCGGAGGAGCTGGCTTCTGCAAATGGGTTCAAAGGGCGGACTTGAGCGGCTTTCAAATCGGACAAGGAGATCCGATGTCTGCCTCGTCAGATACTTCCTGTTTCTGATCGAGAGCGGCAGCTGAGAGCTCCTTCTGCTGGCTCAACGCCAACGGGCTTAACGTCCCGATTTGGAGAGTTGGAGTGAATGCATCAAGTTTATAGGCAATTGTCAAACTCTTCTTGTGGGAAATTCTTGAACTTATTTTGATTATTTTTAATAAATGTCCCCACTGAAGTGGAGACGGAAAAATCCCGACCGAAAACCGCAGACGGAAGACGCTAAAGCTTTACCAGCTGATTACACCCGTTGGAATATTGGATTAAGTGTGTTTCTGGGGTATTTGTGGAGTTCACCGATAAGATCTGAAAGTCGGGATAGCTTAATATATTTGAGATGATTTTCAAAAATCTATTTATTAGTTCTTTAAAGGGATATTCTGAAAATTTGAAGTGCATGTGTGCAAATTCAATAACAAAGCCATTTGATCTGTTGTGGAAATGTGACCTTGAGCATATTTTTGGAAAGAAAAAAGTCCCTTTTATCTCATTCTAGACTTCAAGTACAGCCATAAAAGACCAAACTAAAGAGTTTGAGTACTTTTAATTAATTAATTATTGATTAATTAATTAGCCAGTCAATTAATAATTTAATTAATAAAGCTGATTTCAATTGATGTCACAGTCTGTGTTGCAGACCTTACAGAAATTTAAATATTTCTACAGCAATGCATGATCCTTTGTTTTAAGGCATCAGTGCAGCGACTAACTATTAGCTTATCAGTCATAAAGGTTATGGCTATCTGCAATGGATAGAATAGTAAATATAAGTTTTACACTGAAATATAGTTTAAATTTGGCAAAATATCAATTTAAAATTTCTCTAATGTCAAAAAAAAGATCCGATTTGAGGTTTGAATGTTTTTGGTTTATAAAGATGATGGATTTTGATGACATTTTTATGACTTTATAACTTTGCCGTTCATTTTTACAAGGACATTTTTTAGTTTCTAATGATCTCTCATCTTCTCCAGGTAACATCGAGTACAGCTGTCCAGCATCCAATGAATGTGAAATCACCAAGAGGAGGAGAAAGTCCTGCCAGGCCTGTCGGTTTGTCAAGTGTCTGGCGGTGGGCATGTTGAGAGAAGGTCAGCAGAATGTTCTGTTTGTGAGTGAAACCTTGTTTGAGTTGCTTTTGTGGGTTTGATGCCTTCCTCCAGCCTTTTCTTCAGGCTGGAGGAAGGCATTTAAAATTAGAGCCAGTGTTTGTTTTTAGAAAAACACGGAAACCTGTTGTCTTTTTCTTTTTCCTATTTCACGTGTAAACAATCTCAACAGACAGCCACTGCAGTCATGCGCTCTACACCACTGCGCTGAGTCAGTGATGGTTTCTGTTGACTTGAAATCAGACGTGTTGCTGGACTGTCAGTGACTGTGTCTGGACTCTGGTGCACCTGCTGACCTGGGCGCTCGGATCATTTAGTTTCTTTGCTTTCAGCTCAGGTGGGCTGTTAGCAACTGCCGTAAAGCCTGGAAAAGCTGCTCCTCTAGAAAGCCATGTTAGAAAATACATTGAATTATAATAACTAGTCTGGGTCCTTATAAGACTTCGCGTGGGTCTGGATGCGGTCGTTGCCATGGAGATGATAACCTAATAGACAGTTATTAACATAATACTCCACCTGGTTAATTTGTTGCGCTTGGTGTGTGTGTGTGTGTGTGTGTGTGTGTGCAGGGTCCGAAATTAACACTCGCCACTCGCCAAATGCGAGCAAATTGCTCCATTTGGCGAGTAAATTTTTGAGCTCTATCTGCCACATGGCGAGTAAATGTTTGCTCCAAATTAGTTATGTTTATCAGTCATCTAACACGGATTTCTGATACTCCTCCCGCCTGCATGCAACGTACACAAACGTACGCGAAACGTGAACGCCGCATCCCTCGTCATTTCCACCTATCCCATTCAATCAAGTTTATCAAGTTAGCGGTTAGCTTCGTGTTAAAACTAGCGGTGAAATGTGGCGGTTTTTAACTGGAGTCAGCCAGCCTTCCAAAAGAAAACTTGTCGAACTGGAAGAAGAACCACCAGGACCAGTGGCAACCAGAAGATTTTGTGAAAAGTGGCGAACTGGAGATGGCGGAGTCGTGAGACAATGGCTACATTATGAACCAGAATCTGCGCTAATGAGCTGCACCGTTTGCCGCCAGCACGCTCGAGAGAAGAACTGTAACAACTCGTTTGCCATAGGAAATAAGACAATGAAGCTTGAGACTATTCGAGAACATGAAAACAGCAAATGCCATACTGCCTGCACATCCATGTCCCGGGCTCAATCTGAGGCCTAGTCCACACGTAGCCGGGTATTTTTTTAAAACGAATATCCGCCCCTCCAAAAACTTGCATCCACACCACCTCGTTTAAAAAAAACTCTGTCCACACGTACCCAAATAAATCCGTTGTTAAGGACATGCCAGACCTGTAGGTGGCAGTACTTCCCCCGTTCTTAACCTCGTCCTTCGTCTGTGGTCTTCCGCAAGGAGCAGTAATTCCTCTTGCAAAAACAAACGAGCAGAAAGCGCTTGGACAATTGATAAAGCGAGCGCAGCTCTGAGGGCATCCATGCTGTCGGCTAGTGTAAACACAGGTCGCACACGTGATGTCAGCATTTTTTTGTCGCGGAAAGTGACGTTGCGGACCTTAAAACTCCGGTTTTGTCTGTCCACACGCAGACACCCAAAACGGAGAAAACGCAGATCTTCACTTTGGCCGGAGTTTTTAAAAAGATCCGTTTTCGTGTGGATGACAGGCCAAAACGTAGAAAAATATCTACGTTTTGGCAGATCCGCGGCTACGTGTGGACAGGGCCTGAGTCTCTACTGGTGACACCCACGGTCTGGGCGCTAATGGCTAAGTCAGAGAAAACAAGGAGTCTGACTAGATTTCAATGAAAGAGTTCATAAAAACATCTCTAAAAAATAAATAATTAGTAAAATGACAAAACAGTTGTTTTTCTTATTAATTGATGTTTTAATTTTTTTGTCACTCTGTTTGGAATCATCATAATATAGAATAACATGCTTTAGGTAGATCTAAATCATTTAGAAGTTTGGCCGGTAGATTTTCATCATCTAGCAGCCAACTTAGCCGGTGAGTCAAAAATGTTATTTCGGACCCTGTGTGTGTGTGTTTGTGTGTGTGTGTGTGTGTGTGTGTGTGTGTGTGTGTGTGTGTGTGTGTGTGTGAGAGTGTGTGTGTGTGTGTGTGTTTAACACAGCACTGACTGAATGGTACCTTTCAGCTGTGTCAGTCTTTGCTTCTCAAGCGATCCTCCAAAGTAATTTCTGACCCTCTGCCAGTGTTAGCAGCACAGCAGCAGCCGGTGAGATAATAGGGACCAAGCTGTCAGCTGAGGTAAACCTGAAGAGAGTATTTTTTTATTTTTATCATTTATTTGGTTATTTTTGTTATTGCAAAAAAAGTTTACTGCAAAATCTCACTCACTGCTCTGGGCCAGCATCTTTTCCACAAGTCACAAAACTCATTCTTGACTTCTTCACAGAATCCTGTCGCAGTAAAATGAGAACGGGGCAGACTAAAACAGTTTTAGAGTTTTATGTGCCTATTTTCTGCTCTGAAAACCTCATCACGTATTGTTAAATATCTGAAATGGCATCGTGCTCATGCCACAGACACGCAGTGACGGCGGTCAGGTGCTGCTCTGAGGCTGGCGGTGGGCCTGCTGCGTGGTGACATATTGTTGTCCCGATTTAGAAGTGACTCAAAAAGGAAAACATTAGCAGCCTCCTACTGTGCCACTTGTTTCCTGCTGTGTACACCCAGGGAGAGATAATAAAGAGCAGATAAAGCAGCTATGTGATGTTAAGCATTAGGGATGTGTATTGGTGAAATTCTGGCGATACGATACTTATCACGATACAGGGGAGACAATACGATATATCACGATGTATTGCGATACATTCAGCCGGACAATATTAGCGATTTTTTTGGACTAAAATTATTGTAGGAAAATTCAATAAATGGTCCAAACTGATACTTAACATGATTAACATGAGGTATCTGAACCATAATAGAGGGATTTACATTTCAGTGGTGGAAACAAACTCCATTCACACTACTGCTGACTAGCGGACGGCATTTGATTTGCACCAAAAGAAAAGAAAATACACAAATGTTTGCACGTAAATTCTTCCAGAAAAATCGATGCACAGCTTTTGAACATCGATATAATATCACAGGAAAAAATATTGCGATATATTGCTATATCGATATTTTCTTACATTCCTATGAAGCATTATGATATCCATTAAATATTCATTTTATGAATAAAAGTTTATTAATGAGAAATTTATAAAACATTCAGATACTCTTAATGCTTTATTGTCGTTTTTTGAACAGCTTTAGATCATTTTATTACAGAATCACGTGTCCACTTCACCACACTGCAAAAAATATTTCTAAGTAGAAAAAAAGAACAAACGTTTTAGACGTTTTATCTTTTTTTTTTGGTCTAAAAACAATATAAATTCTTCTCTAGAAAAATTAAATTACTCAAAATAAAGTAAATATTAGGGATGTGAATCTTAGAGCAACTCACGATTTGATTCGATTCCGATTCTCGGGGTGTCGATTCGATTCAGAATCGATTCTCGATTTTAATCGATTCACAATCAGTATTAACAAAGAGTGTCATTCCAGGATTAACTCCTTTGTTGTACAAGTTAGTTAAAGCTGTGGGACATTTTTATTTGACTTTAAACTGGTCATGCTAAAAAAAAGCTAATTTACAAAGTAAAATAAAGTGATTCTAAAACTGTAAACAGAAGCAATCTTTTGACCAAAAGGCAACATTTATTTTTGCTTACCTTGTAAAATACAACTAATCTTTAGTTACCTAACAGTAGCTTTGAAAGTAATACGGTCAAATACTTTTAAAGTATGTGTGGAAACAAGTTTAACATTTGAATCCTCAACCTGTTTTTAAAAAAGTGCCTCAGATTTCTTACAAAGAAAAATGTTTTCTCTCATTTATCAATAACTTCAAATAAATACACGAGTAATCCTGAGTACTCACTTATCAACTTAGAAATTTAATATGAGAGTATCTCAAATTTCTGAGTATGGAAAAAATTACATTCTAGTTCCCTCTTATCAGCAGATTCAAAATAAATAATTTCAGTTTATGGGACCACAAAAGTAAACGGAGTACTAACTCTCCAAACAAAGACCAAAAAAACGTACATTAGTGCATCTCAAACCTGTAACATGCCAAACATTTGAGTTCCTGGAATCGATTCTGAATCTTTATAAATAAGAATCCCGATTCAGACTTGAATCGATATTTTTCAGCACCTCTAATAAATATTCTTAAATATGATCCAGCTATTCTTATTTTGAGTAAAAACAAGTCTGCCAATGTGGTAAGCAAATGTTACTTGGCTAGAAATCTTAAAACTAGCTAAAATGAGATTATTTTAAGAATTTCAGCCAAGCAACTTTTGCTTACCCCATTGGCAGGTTTGTTTTTACTCAAAATAAGAATAGTTGGATCATATTTAAGAATATTTACCTTATTTTGAGTAATTTTATTTTTCTAGAGAAGACTTTATATTCTGTTTAGACTAAAATCAGATAAAATGTCTAAAAATAAGAATTTTTTAAAACTTCTTGGATATCCCAAGCAACAAAGGTTTGAGGATGGTGTCCTGCATTAAACGGGTCTTTTTGAAGTATCGTCGATCGTGGGATGGAATCTATGGTTGCCTTTCAAACAAAACCCATTGACCCAAAACTGTTTGGGCCAATGGTGGACCTGCTGAAGCTACAGTAGAATGTGGATAGACTGAGCTGCAGGGTTAAATCTAGCAGTTTGTCTAGATTTCTAGGTTTTTATTTAAATGGAGTTCTGTGGTTTTCTGTTAGCACATTTATCACTAACAATAACGGTACACTGTGGATCCAGGCGTCAAGTCCAGCAGGAATATAATATTTCTGCCAGAATAACTGTGTAGGGCAAGGTGAAGGGTGCTTACATGCTGATTGGAGCTGTTTTAACGTGTCAGAAATCTGTTTTAAAATTGCGTTCATTCAGAGATTTTTTTTTTACTTTGTTAAAATGTCAGACATCAA